ATCTAAGGCTTCATCGTGGCGCTGTTGGATAGTGGGGGCAACCCTGTTAACCGATTTAGGCGGTCGCAGAGATCAGGTCGATTTCCCACTCTCTTGTATCAGACTAACCCTGCGTTCTATAATCGGGGTTCACTTTATCGCTTGATCTACCTGATATGTATGCCTATGTACAATAATTTCAGAAGTTCTCGAATTTATTTAGTTCAAGCATATAGGTATATGCAAAGGGTACGCATGGGGTGTCGTATGAAGGAAACGTTGAGCTGCAAAAATGTCTGCTCTATGTCTAATAAAATCGGTGACCTATCTCTCAGGTCGAAAATATAACTAAAAGATGTGGTATCAAATATTAGGGTGAGGTGACCAACAACCACACCTGAGAGAGTGCTTATGCACATGTGTGTGTCAGGAAATAATGGGGCGGTAGCCATTGTGTGAATGATATGCATATAATGAGTAAGAGTCAGTCTGGTGTAGCAAATACGTTTTCTTTGGGAGCAGTGAATATCTACCCCCAAGGTGGGTGAACATACCTATGTGTATGCTATGGGATGCATGGGGTAAAACCTGTATTTTACTGGTGTGCATGTAACGTATTTTTGCCCACAGGGTGTGTATACCTGCATGTATGCCAAGTGATACTCCGATGAACGTTCGTGTGTGAACTAGTATGCAAGTAGACTATACATATACAGGGCAAGTAAATTCAAACTTCTCTACTTGCTCTTTCGGTGCGATACCACTGTGCATACAAAGACCCATGAGGCCGTGATGTCCACTAAGTTTCATTCACGTGTTGGGTTTGTGAGCCTAATAAAAACGGGATCCGTCCCAGAAGGACTACTGGGTCCCCCCAGTAGGCTTCACCAGCTGTTTCTGGCTGGAACACCGTACCCATGTTTATTAAATGCCTCGTATAAAGTAAGAAATCCACAGACGAAAATTATACAAAATGTATATAAAATACAACTAGTATCTACCTTCAATTACTTAGCTCCGGGACAAGAATGAGTCGATTGAATTTGATTGATAGATTTAGATCAGCATGTAGAGTCGGTAGCTATGTTCAGCCCTTACAACTTATCCATTCTTCTTGAGTTACGTTTTGACCTTATTAATTATTCACTAATCAACCCTGACTGTTTTTATATGAGCGTGTGTGTGTACACCCTACCCTAATCATCACACTCCGTACCTTATTTTTGTGTGATTATAGATATCGATTAACGGTCGGTTAAAGGGAGTTGGCTCACAAACCTTCTCCATTGGCTGTCGTTTCGCTTCGCCCTCTTCTCTTCGATCCTCTGATCGTTTGTCCAGATCAATGATTGTACAAAATACATGTATTCGAAACCCATCCTCGTATTTGACTTGTTTAATTTCGTTATTCACCAACGCGAGTTAAGTCGATGAAATATACGAGGACTGACGATATATGTATCCACGTGTATATCTCAACAGCAATCAGAAAAGACCAAACTGGGGTCAGATCCCGGGCCACTAAAAGCACCAAAAAACTGGACAAATATAACAACAGTTTCTGCTCAGGGATCATCCAGTATTTAAAAAACCCGTCATACGAGAGATTAGACAATAGTTCAATATATTAATGGCTACGCTTCAGACTATGGAGCTAGGTATGGCTGGCTTCGATTCGATAGCGAGCATTAGCTCGCTCAATATTACAGGTTAGCCTTGTTTACGAGTTCCAAATAACAGAAAATCTAGTTCCTTCCAACTACCTACAACCACGTGACACTGAACTCATACTTCGCACAGACACAAATTAGTGCAAAGACGTTGCAAACATAAGCAATTACCAGTTCAATAACCTTATGGATTTTTCTCATGTGCCTTAGTTTGGTCGCTTCTAACTATCCCTACTCAAATGTGCTTATGTCGCACGATTGTACATCGGAGTAGATGGTAGATACCTAAGGAGATACTATATTTATTTATCTTAGTATAGCAAGAAAAACAGACATTTAGGAAGGTGATAATGATAACGAGTAGAGGATAATTCAATTTTCACGATAATAATAATAATAATAATAATAATAATAATAATAATAATAATAATAATAATAATCGTGTATTCACCAGTTACGAAATTCAAGGGATAATTCCCGAAGTCCTACTGACAGGCCGTAACCAATGAATTTCAGTCATGTTGGTTGTGAGACGGTAGCTATCTTCTAATGGCATTGGAACATGAGTCGAACAATATCAAGAGTTCATTGACATTAGAAATGTAAACTTTTGGAAGCCGATTCATTGGTCAAAAGGGTGAGCGCTCACTGATGGACCAACAGTTTTCAAATCCAATGTTCGAAAAGCACGGGAATACTTACTGCCGCTAGGTCTTAGTCACACACTGGAACGAAACAACTGTCCAGTGCTTTTTATTCTTCAATGGCTATCTTACTATGATCAATCAATCAAGGTGTAAAATTACAAAAAAGAAACATGCAATTCTAATAATCCAAGAGAGAACCAATAAAATCAATACACACAAAAGCGTTTCTGAGAGGAATTTTTTTCACTAATTGTCTAGAAATAACAAATACCAAAAGGAAAAAATATATTGGGTGAGTCAGATTATGTTTTCATCTCCTTTTTTTATTCTACGTCTACATAATTTTACATCGAAAATTCAGTTATCTTCTAAGGCGACAAAAAAGTCATAGATGAATGAATGAAACAGGTTTAAAAGAGTAATTAATACATAAAAGTATTAGTTAAACTAATCTCGAAGTATATATATAAGATAAATATTGTTTATTGTTCATATTTTATAGGTCACATGATTGAAAACGATAAGAAAAGAATAAATGAACGGATGAAACTGATTAAACAGTCATTGATTTCATCTCTTTCTTCCTGAGTTAAGTGAAAGACTGATAATCATTAAAAGGAAATTAAGTAGTTAGACGATAAACAGTAAAAGAATATCAATAGATAATTAAGAGAAAAGACGGTTGTATAAATATTTACAACAGATATATATATATATATATATATATATATATATATATCTTCATAATTAAGACATATTCAAATTTCAGCCTACCGTTTACAGATTCAAGAAATAGTTCGAGATGAAATTCCCAGATTTCTAATATGAAGCCATAACTAGTGGAAATAAACCATGTCACGAGTTACATAGTTGCTCGGCGTTAGAAATGCACGCCATTGACTTCCAGATTAGTGGTCTGGATGTTAGGCCCTTGTTAACAAGATTGAGGGTCCTACGTTTGGTCCACAGTAAGATCGTGAGTTTCAATTGCTATTAAGACGCAATAGCTGCCCATTACTTCTTAATTTCCACCGGTCGTCTAAATCAAGAGTGATCCGTGATATAAACTATGAAAATACTTTATACTACAATAAGAAAAAGTATTTAGTCAACAAAGTTATCATTTTTTGTAGAATAGATGAATTTGTGGCTAATGGTGAAATGCAGAATGCGCATCTTGTCTTATTTAGAACTTATTATAACTAGACATACGTACATTCTAGTTTTAGTATTTACGCTGATATTCGAATCCAGTATCTTTTGTACCAATTTCAACGTGCTTTTATCAAGCTACTGAGTGCAGGTGGTCAGTAACTTATTGCATGAACATAATTTTTTTGATATTCCAACTTCTATGAATGTAAAAGGTGTAGGTGTAAGTTAGAAAAAGTAGAAAAACAAAATATTGAAACAAATGAAAATGTTGTTTACAAACACACGCTAACAAAAAGCAATCCATTAACCTAGAATTTTCATGCCAAAAATATAATAATAATAATAATAATAATAATAATAATAATAATAATAATAATAATAATAATAATAATAATAATTTCATAGCTGGAATCAAGAAGTGGTAGTAGCTAGACCATCAATGAAAAGTAGAAAGCCCTGGACAACTGTTTCGTTCCAGTGTGAGACTCTTCAGCGGTGCGCATATATGGCTCTATACATTCTATAATCTCCACAATCACCCTCTTATACCAATAATAATATTTACAGACAAATAAATGGAAATAAAAAAATGGTGTTTCTATGATTTTGAGATGATATCTAAGACAGTGATTTTGTTGAAATAGTGTTCTCTGAACCAAGTGGTTTAATTGTGATACTTACTAGACAAATTTCATAATTAGTAAACAATCCCGATAGGACTGAACTATCTGAATCTCTTCACATATAACTAACAATGTATTTTGTCAGAGACAAAGCTGATTCTCCTCTGGGAATACAAAGATGATCATGTCAATTATTATTCAATAAAATTCGGAATCGATTAGGTTTGTAGTGTCAGTTATTATTTTAAGCACATATGCCTTATTCTAGTTTTCGGACAAATCAATCTATTCATTCTACTTGAGTCATATGTTGACCATGTTAGTTATTCGCTTACCAGTCTTCATTGTTTTTATATGAGCGCATATGTGTGGACACCACCCATCCCATTCATCACATGTCTGTAGCTTATTTTTGTCTGCCTATAAATATTGATTAACGCCTGACTAAAAATGAGTTGGCTTACCAGCCATCTCCACTCTGCGTCGCTTCTCTTCCTTCTATTCCATTCATCTCATATACAAAATATATGTATTTAAAATCCCATTCTCGTTATTTGACTCATTTAATTCCGTTATTGACTACCGTGATTTAAGTCGACGATTGTATATGAGAATAGGCGATAACAAACATTCGTACGATCTAAATAGGAGTCAGATCCACGGGCCACTAAAAGTTTATTGATACATAAAAAAACTACAGGTGTAAGAATAAAGTTAAGACAGATGATCAAAATAAATATGGAAACAACCATGGTTACTTACAGAGAAATTCTCAAAGATCACTTTCATCTGGATTTTATGCTGACAGTGTTATCAGTGGAAAATGAAGAAAGATTTACAATTAAAGTACGGTGTAGAGAATACAACCCCACCAAATTTTTCACGTAAGATTACAACATTTGTTATAGTAAAAACAAATTACTTACATGCAAACTGGTGAGTTGCATAACGTGGTTTAAATGACGGTTCAACTGATGCACTTGGAGTTCTGGACGCTGACACTGGGTCTAAATAGGTTTGTGAACGTGATTGGCGTTTACTTTCAGCTTCTTCCCGTAGAATTGCCTAGAAAAGATTGCATTTGAACAAAGAAATCTCAAAATTCGGTGGGAAAATTAGTTAGATGAGTGTATTTTGATGTTAGGTAGTTTGAGAGGATTGGCAAGAAACACTGGATTTAGGCTTCATATTATTTGATACTCATCAGTAAGACATACCTGAAATCTTTGGGGAAATGATGATCCTTCGAGTATCCAACTTATGTGACTTCGTCTCACAGTTTGAAACTTAACCACGTAGCTGTTCGAGCCGTCACTAGTTACCATATTTCAATTCGATCAACAGAATTTGATCAGGACTACGAACTAAGGAAACAGGGCACTGCCTACTTCACAATAATCAGTAAGTTTCTATGAAGTAGACAAACTATTTCTATGGAGATAAGTCTATTCATTTGGAATCGGCAATCAATATTGGTAATTCGGTAACAAAAGTAACACACTGATTTACGTAAGATTTTCTATAAATTTGAAGCCTACTATAATTACGAAGAGGATAGGATTTCATGATGAATTCTACTGACTGAATTTCTTATTTGAAGTCAGTCATATTTGCACAACTCCCTAGCAAATTTATTGTTCGCTTTCTGTGGGACTAGTCAATGTAACTAAGTAGAGGATGGGAAAAGATTGATATTATCTCAACTGGTGTGTGTGGATACAGAACAAGAAATAGACTGAGACCCAACATTCGTCATCATACAAAATATCAGTGAGGTTTCTAGTCTTTTTACACTTTATTTCATTAAGTAAAACAGATGTAACACGAAAATCAGGATTTTTTCCACCGAAATGGAGCAGGGAAATATCATTTGTTTGATCTCGCTTCCACTTATGGCATTCACTAAGCAAAATATGTCATAAAAATAATCGATTTTATCCAGATTCCGTAGGAAAACTATGAATGTTATTTTTAGATGTTCGCATTATTATTGTTACAATTATTATTATTTGTTTGTTGTGTTATTCCTCTACCCCATGCAAATTTTTAAATAGTTATTAATGTAAACTGCCAAGGTTTTTTCCCGATTTTTGTTACTAACTTTGGCGAAGGTATACATAGTAAAAGGACAATATTATAATAAGCGCGGCCAATTTGAAGATAGTTCGTATTCAATCAGAAAATATCTCTAACAAATCAACAGTTTACAAAAGCGAAGACAATGTTACTGGAAATTATAAGGATATCCAACATAACTGATAAATCTACTAGAGTTAGGAATTCACGATAATGGCTTCCAACTCTATGGTCTGAGAGTGAAGGGGTATCTACCTGGTTAATTTATCCATAAAATGTAAAGCCACTAAGTTGAAGTTTGTTTCAGGATTAAAAGTTTAGGGTCAGTGTCGATTCGTCTTTTATGTAAAAAATACAGGGAAGGAATAAGCATTCCAAACAGTTAATACTCTTGTTTTTACTGTATGGTGGCGAAAATGATTATTTTTATCAGTTAGAATTATCTAAGGACTACTCAAAGACATTTTTACTGGTGACTATTATTTGATACCTGAATTTTGAGTAAAAGCCTCAAAGTTGCATTCTCAGGGGTAAGTGGCTCATACCTAAATAGCACTTTACCCTAATTTCTAACTCGTAATTCGAATCAACCACAATGAGATAAATATTTTAAATAAGTGTTTCTGATTGTAATTGTAAAATGTTTAGTAAGAAATTATTCAAGTTACATTTTTCCATTAAACATTGTTTCAAATTTAAACGTTCACTAAAAACAACATTCACTCTCCCTGAGCAGACTTCAAATGATCTAGTTTTTGTTAGGCTATGATAATTTTCTTGTAAAGTGGTAATCACGGTAACTCCTTTTCAAATTTGTGTTTCCACACTGTTCTTTTGCTGCTAATATATTGATTGCTTTGATTATCAGTTCGCTAAATATATTATTTTGCTACCATATATACATAGTTATTGATAGAATCCCAGTTGTTCGTAGTTAGAAATTACCGTGGACATTCTCTAACTAGAGTAAATTTTTACACTGAGAGATACAAAAACAAACATGCATGTCGATGATGAACACAGAAAATCACAAAGAATCGAAAAACAATATCATCAATTGGATTGAAACAGAAATAAAGTTATTAGAATAAAAGAACATAACAATTAAGGATAGAAGTAAATTAATAACTACATACAAAATCGTGTCACCGATTATTGAGAGTAATACATAATATTTATATCATTGACAAAGAACATAAAAATATTCATATAGTATAATAATTATGACGGAAACAGCTTCCATAATCCGATTACTAAAACTTGAGTTACATGATTTGATCATTTTAGAGTAAAAATAAAACTTATAAACATGTTACGTTATCATATCTTGGCTTGTGTATGAATTACTTGGCAAGTGACAAATTTTTGAGCAAAAGTGATTGAACGATAACTATATTACATTGATTGTCTCTGATTTATTCAGATCTTTATATTTTAGAATTACTTCGTTACTGGAAGTTTAATGGATTCAATTAACTTATTCGATGTTTTTTATTTATTTATTAAATAACTAACTATAATTAATCATCATTCGTAGACAAATAGAAATAGACTGTAACCCTTTGTTGCCTCTAATCTAACTTGACCTAAGTTTGACCGAAATTTATAGTCTATCCTTAATTTATAAATCAATTATACTAAAAATCGATAAAACTATGTGGTGAATTTTTCATCGAAACATATATAACTTAGTTGATTACTCATATATCACGAATATTTCATAGCACTCCTGTTTGACAAAAAAAATGATTATTTTAAGAATTACCAGATAACTAAGAAAAATTTCTACATGGTGATAAATTACTTTTGAGTAACAAGTGAAATCTACTGGGAACTTCAGTGCTTAACTATACTTCTTTATTTTCAGTTATTTTAATTTAATTCTTTTTTAGTTAAGAAGGGGTTCTAATTGGGCAAACAAATGAAATATTTAAACTGTCGATTATGTTTTGTTCCCCATGGTTTGATTGAGAAGCTCCTATTGGTGTTTTGGACAAAATTATCAGCAATTACGTCCTGGAGAAGTATGATGATAGTCATGTTCATAAGTGGTTGACTTAGGAAGTTTGATTTAATCTGTGGTGTTTTGCATCCTCTCGTTGTTGATGCTGTAGGTGGTTCGAATCCTGGATCGGACAGTAACTCTGGATGCAAGTATATACAGCTGATGAGTCTCGAATAGGACAATTCCAATGTTAATCACATTTCATCTAATCTATCTAAACAGAATTAATCCTTTCCTTAAGAAAACAAAAATATTTTTCTTTAACATTTTTATATCTTAGAAAGGTTGATTATTTACACTATATGAGTTGTACAACTAACGAAATTATTTTATATGCTACAACTCAGTGACTTGTCTACGGAGTTATGATACATTATTGCTATCAAGACAGATGTATCTGAACATAGAATAGGAGGCGAAAAAAAACATTGAAGTATATGAATATTAGAGAAAGTCAGTAACTAACGGACCGCTTTTTTAACTCCAGTAGTATTCTAATCAAAAAAATTTTCATCGGTGAACATATCAGAACCAACAAATATGTTCCCCCTACTTGTCACTTCATTTAATTTTCTAGAACTATCTAAGTTTTATTTAGTTTTCAATTTTTTCGTCCCACATTTAAACTATCCATTTACGCACGAATCATTTTATAGTAATTTGCATAAACAGTTAATTTGTAACGCGTAGGTTGAAAAAAGTGCAACAGATTTCACGTTCTAACTTCATCTAGTTATCTGTGTTATCAAATAAGCTACAACTAATAATCTTACTAGTTTTAACACCAATCATAACTTGTTTCATATAATTGATCAATGAGATGACCAACATTATGTGAATATCAACGACAATATCAATCTGAATTGATGATGACGATAACCAAGTAAAAAGAATGAAACCGTAAATGATATCTTTGAATGCATCACAAAAACGTCTAGTGTGATTTCAGGAAAATAAAAGATCATAAAAAACGGTAAAGCATTATCAGTTCTAATGAATAGATGATAATCGTTAGAGATTGATCCTAGTTAGAGGACCAATGAATAGCAAGTAGCGTACAAGCGTTGTTTGATCCTAATGTGGAACCCCTTTTATGTAGTGCTAATTAAACACCAATCTGCGCAATTAATAAGTAGTATTTCTAATGGATGTGTATATACTTTAAACTCAGTACAGCCCAGATATAGATTTATTACATATTACAAAAATCACTTGGCGAGAATTACTGAAAACAAAGAAGAACCAGTGATAAGTGCATTGATGTACTGTACGAAGAAGGAGCAACTGTAAGTTGACTGAGATTGGAAATGTAGATCAATGGAAGTTAATTCAGTTATCTAACTTCGATACGCTCAAAGTGAAATCTCAAATCTTTAAACTGGAGAAACCCTGGCTTATTTGTTAACAGGCAGTAGTTTAGTGGTTAGGCTGGTTGAGTTTCAACTACCAGGTTGTACGTTCGATTCCCACTTCATTTTAGTTTAGGAGGACGAGCAAAACTATCAAAAATCAAACTGACAGTGAGCCCCAAGGCCGAGTAAACGAACTTGTGCCCAGCAAACAAGTCTTATTATCACTATCATTGTGTACAGTGGAAAAGTCTTCTTAGGACAAAAAACTATCTAATGCATTTGCAGTTGTAGTGGTTGTCTACTTAACTATTTCCATATAGAACTTCATAAAAAATCTAAATTGAAGGTAACATAATAATATTGTTTTAGTGGTTGTTTTACGTTTGCGCATCAAACAATTATCATATTGATTAAGAATTACCACCATAGCAGTAATTGCGAATTATTCCTCTAAAATTGTTAATTTTATAGTTTAGTTCCGTTATTAAAATACAAATTACTATTACTGTTCATAAAATATGTATATAAAGAGTTATGAAGAGAGAGGAAAAGAGATTAGTGTATGTCTCATAATTTATGATAAAGTGATCATAAGGCCTAGAAATCACGATTTATAAGTTCACAGAAAAGAA